AAGTGCTCAAGTGTTTGTTTTCCCAGAAGCTGCGGAATGTTGACACAATTCCAGAACTTTGCATAATTACTGGAGATGAAAAAAACACGAATGCTTTATGATGCATGTCAACTTGCTAAATTGTTCCAGAGGACAAACTTTATTTTTCTAAGAATAAGAGAATACAAATAATTTACTACAAGAAGAACATGCTTGCACGCCTCTGTTTTAAAGTTCAGCTTGGACGTACTGGTAACAAACACAAGTCCTACTCTTCTGAACTGTCCTGCAATTATAAAGCTTCTTTTGTCCTAAATGGTCTCAAGAAAGTACACATCAATGCTAAAAACAGGTTCAGACATTGCCAGACACTCAGCAGCCACATTGAGGTCAGGATGGACTCACTATTAAACACTCAGCAACGCTAGTCTACAAGGCAGGCAGAAAATAATTCAGTTGAAATAATGCAACCAATTCTAAATATGTGCTGACCAAGTGGCTTAAATTCTGGTCATTGATTAGACATGGCAGTATTTTTGTTTCCTAAGAATTCTAGGAGATTAGAGGCAAATAAATGTTTTTCGCTAAAAGATAATCTATCTGATAAAATAATTTAAGCCTTGCCTCCCATTTAATCATAGGAAACACATTATCTACATGTGAAATTAGGGGCCTGTATTCTGCCCTTCTTAACACCAAAATTGTAGCCCTGAAGTCCTGTGTTTCTTAAATGTGATCACTTTCTATGTCAGGACCCATTCATGAAAGCACTGTGCTCATTATGAATATGGGAGGACACAGAAAGGTTAACCTTAATATTATCAGAACAGATCCCTTCCTTTCCTCAAATTTTATTTTTTCAAAGAAAAATGCTACATGGCCATTAGAAAAATGATTTATTAAGTCTCTACAATAACAATAATGATAACAACAACAATAGAAAAATAATAACAATAGCTAAAGTCTATGAAGTATTTCTATGTGCCAGACTCTCCTCTACATTATTATATATACTATGTCATTGAACCCTCACACTTCCACCATGAGATACTGTTACTGTTACTGTCACTTAATAATTGGGACGCCAAGACACTGAGTCCTTAAGTAATTGGCCCAAGGAAGGTCACACAGCTCATAGGTGGTGAGGCCAGAATAAGCAAACACTCCATTTCCATAACTGCATTCATGCCCAGCCAACGCCAAAGCGATCAGTGATAATCACCTGACACATCAAAAAACGTCTGTGCCCGTCCGGTCCCCGCACTGCTGGCAGCGATGCACTCATAGGAGCCTTCGTCAGACAAAGTGACCTTTTCAATATCCCAGTTCACACTGGCGGATTCTCTGGGGTAAGAAAACAGAAACATTTCTAGTTACTATGAAAACATGACCCCGTTGAAAGCAGTGATTCCCCTTTTTGTTCTGAAGTCTTCACTCAGAAGAGCACCGTAAGGAAAATAAGCCCGCCCTGGCCAGGTGCCTCGGGGTTAGACTGTTGTCTCAATAGGCCAAGGTTGCAGGTTCCATCTCTGGTCAGGGCACATATAAGAATCAAGTGAACTGTTGTCCCAATAGGCCAAGGTTGCAGATTCCATCTCTGGTCAGGGCACATATAAGAATCAAGTGATGAATGCATAACTAAGTGGATCAACAAATTGATGTTTCTCTCGCTCTCTCTCTCTCTCTCTCTCTCTCTTAAAATCAATACATTAAAAATGAATAAATAAATTAAGCTGCAGTGTTCTTTCTAGCTTAAAACTGAACAGCTTTTATATCTCAATTAGAAAGTTCGGCTTCTCTACTCTGAACAAAGACAATAAGTTATGGAGATTATAAAATTCTTTATTGAAATACTGTCTGGCTGTGTCAAAGTATAAGATAAAGAGCTGTTAGAGAAATACTGCTTAAATTTCTCTCCTTCGTGATCATTTCCAGTTTTTGGACATGTTCAGTGAGGTTCTTCAACAAAGCAATTCAACCAGTTTCAAGGTAGAAAATAGACTTTTTTTAAAAAAAAATCTTCACCCGAGAATATTTTTCCGTTGATTTCTAGAGAGAGTAGGAGGGAGGGAGGCAAGGGAGAGAGAAACACCGACGTGAATTGGTTGCCTTCTGCATGTGCCCCAACCGGGGCTGGGGAACCTGCAACCAAGGTATATGCCCTTGACCAGGAACTGAACCTGTGACTCTTGGGTCTGCAGGCCAACGCTCTAACCACTGAACAAAACTGACCAGGGCCAGACTTTTTGATTCCAAACGATAAATACGCTTTAACTTTCTTATATAGAAGTTCAATATAAAGCTATATACCACATCTGGTTCCACCTATGTATACATTTAAAAAAAGAAAAATAATTATGTTTTTTAGTTAAGCTTATCATTCAAATAAAAAAAAATCCCTTTGCTATATTGTGTATTCATTCATTGAATAAATATTTATACTTTGTTCTCTAAGACTGTTCAAATTATATATCATTATATCTGATCTTCTGGAAGTCTCTGAATAATAGAAGTTCAATCCCTATTTAAAAGATTACAATAATCCAGGGCACATGCCTGGGGTGCAAGCTCTATTCCCCAGTGTGGGTGTGCAGGAGGCAGCCAATCATTGATTCTCATCATTGATGTTTCTATCTTTCTCCCCCCTCCCTTCCTCTCTGAAATCTTTATATATAAAGATTATAATAATTCATAAAACAAACATTATTTTGTTTTGAAATAACTGTAAAAATGTGATTGAAATGCATAAATATTTTCATAATTTTTTTCTTACAACCACTTATACTATCTACAACCTTTTTAATCATTCTGGATAAAACTGAGGTGAACACTTCATTGCAGAGTCAGGACACCTTCCACTGAAGTCAGAAATAACGCCCACAGCAATAACTCCCGGTCTCCCGCCACCCAAGGATACCACACCCACCATCAAACAACCGTGGAGGAATAACTGAGCACCGAGTGCATGGTCAGCACTAACCTACAGTTGGCAAGAGAGTGTTAAGGCACAGGTTCCCATCATCAGAAAAGTCAGAAACTAAATACCACTGGCCCATATACCTTAGTAACTGAGACGATTCAGCTAATGTCATTTCCTTCCATTGCGTATGTGCCAGGTGCCAGTGGTCCTTATTGTCACATTCAGAGGAAAACAGACCCGGACTTGATTCGATGCTGTACTGATCACCTAAGCTGTATCTTGAATGTTTAGCAGCAGCATACCACACCCGACTTTATAAATGCCTTTGTCTAGAGCTGGGGGTGGGGGGTTAAGTTGATAATTTTGTATGGCCCTCGAATAATGTTATAAATATCCAAATGGCCCTTGGCAGAAAAAAGGTTCCCCACCCCTGGTCTAGAGAAACTAGTTGGTTCCAGGAAGGCAGGAATTAAAATACATGAGTCTTCTGTATCCTCTGCAGGGGCCCACTTCAGAGGCAAACATTTATCAGGATTCATCAAAAACATGACATACGGAAATTTAGAACAGAAAGCAACAATTCTTTTAGTTCCTCTTTATAAAAAAGAGATGTTGAGATCCCGAAAGAACTGATTTGTTCCAAGAGACATAACTAGCATATAGATTGCTTAAAGAATATTCTCTATAATTATTCTAGTTCCTCTCTTATTTATGCACTATTACATGACAATCACTTTTTCTTTCACGTAGCCTTCTCAGTTGACATTAAGACAACATGGCGACAGTAAAAAGTTTTGAAGGAATGGCCTTTTGGAACAGGGGAAAGAACATAAATAAAAATGTGTTCTGCTGTTAATGCAAACTAATTACCTTCCATCCCCTAGAGACCACAGTGACTCACATAACCAAGACTCAGCCCTCTGTCTCACGTTATTCGGAAATCTAACCAGAGATGTTCGAGTGAATCGGGGTTAGAGTATCAATCCATCATCACCCACACCTAATTCTGTCTTTAGCCTCTCACATCCAAAAAGCTTTAATATGTGTCAGTAAGGCATGTCACATCTCTGCATCACAGAGCTGGAAAAATGAGAGAAAGAATTCTTGTGGCTTACCTCCCAGAAACTGCATGGAAATTAGTGTTTATAAAGAACCACGTGTCTTTGAAAAATGTTACGCTTTCAACATGAAGCAGAGTGGTTTGATTTCATCAGTCAGTTATGTAGCTTCATCATTGGCTATCCTGGTCAGTTGTGTTTGATTTATGGTTATTAAATATGCAGCTAAGTAAATCATCAAGATATACTATGTGAGAAAAAAGTGGCAGGAAATACTGCAGTTCAGTCTTTAAGTAATGGAAAAGTTTCTAAATTTATAAGGAACATTTCTGCCATAGTTTTGACTTAAAACGACCCCCTCATAAAGGGACTGCATAAACGAAGAATTTCAAGTATTTAACATCTTATGGAAGTTACTTACATTAATATTGAACTAACAGTAGGAGAGTTTTATAAAATAATTCCTAGAGGTTTTTTTTTCCAAAATGTAGTTGGTTTCATTCTAAGTTTAAAAAAATAAACCAAAACAACAAAAAACAACAAACAAAAACCATTTTCCAGAAATCACCCTCCAGTTTTCAAGGCCTACTTCATTTTTATTAGATTACTGATATTTGTCTAAAAAGGTGACCCATTTTCACAAGGGCAGTTGGTGCCCTCTGGCCCACTCCCCCTGTTTTACGGGGTGGGGCAAAAGTAGGTTTCCAGTGGTTCTTGTGGAAAATAATGCCATAATTATTAAATAATAATACAAAAATAAACTGTTTCATGTACTCTTAACTGTGAAAATACGTTTGCCTACCCCTGTATGCAGTGGCCTCACAGGTTAGTGCTCCACCTGTCACTCCACCCCAGCACACACCACTTTTCCTTGACCTCATCTTCTGCCTTTCCCCCCCAGGCTCACGGGGCTCCGGCCACACTGGCTTCCTTCCTGTCTTTCTTCCACACATGCCCTGCTCACTCCAGCCTTCGGGCATGCGCACTTGCTGGTCCTGGTGTGCGCACACTCTTCCCGGATATCTGTGTACACCTCTGCACCTATGTTCTTTGCACAAATGCCCCTTATCCTGAATTTTTAAATCATAACTTGGTAGCCCTAGCCAGTTTGGCTCAGTGGATAGAGCGTCGGCCTGTGGACTGAAAGGTCCTAAGTTGATTCTGGTCAAGGGCAAGTACCTCAGTTGCAGGCTCGATCTCTGGCCCTAGTCAGGGGCACCCGCAGGAGGCAACCAATCGATAGGTCTTTCTCACATAGATCCTCTCTCTCTCTCTCTCTCTCTCTCTCTCTCTCTCTCTCTCTCTCTCTCTCTCTCTGTCTCTCCCTCTCTCTCCCTCTCTCTCTCAAATT